AGGGGCTGATATCCTCCTTGCAGGAACAATTCGGCGACCTTTTGGTTGGTGAAAGCCTGCATACGTTCCTGCAAGAAATTAGAGAAACACCAAAAGAGACAGGGGCCAAAAAGTAGGATAAGACACAGTTAGGGGTCCTAGTAGGGGCATAGGCCAGGGTATCCAAGGGTTCAGTGAAATGGTTTAAGTTGTTTTGGATCACCCGGACTCATTTATGTAATAACAGCATTCCTCCCCCAGGAAGAGGCAGTTGCCTTCCTTCTCGGCTGTGAGGAAGTAAAGGGCCGGACGGTTCTGTAAAGCGACTGTCCACTGTCGCGAGTGAGGTGACCTGTCACTGGAGGGAGGAGATGCTGTCTATGCTTAGTTCTTCTGAGAGTTTTGATAGAATTGAGAGGCAGTAGCAGGGCCCGCTATGCTAGTCCCAGTTGCAGAAAGGATCTCTGCCCCAATTAAAAGGTACAATTAGTGCCCTATGGGAGCGGGGGCACTTCCTGAGAGGGAGGGGCCGAAGTTAGTCCCAGTCCCCTCTGTCTGGAGGGTGATGTCAGGGACGAGCCAAACAAATATGCAAGAAATCGAGTTGGGGGCAGGCAACAGGATAACATAGTTTTACGAAGGAAATATATTCCGGTTTTAGGGCATGTATGAGGAGGGGGTAAGTGAGTGGTAGCGTTTGGTGTTTGTAAGGCAGAGTGTGGGCACGCCCCGCAGAATGCTGACAGTCCCCACTGAGGTGAGATTAAAGTGAAGAGACGTTTGTGGAAACGTTACGGGCTGCATTGACAGGGGCGGGGTGGCCACAAAAAGTTTCTCACGAAGTGGGAGACAGATGAGTAGTACTGCCCAAGTAAGTTGTTGGGAACGGTGCATGTCAGGATTAGTCCTGTACTAAACAATATGAACGACGTGTGTCAGGATTAGTCCTGTACTAAATGGTATGAGCTGTTAGGCTTTATAACAGGAAGGATGGGTACATTGAAAGGTGAGTGGGTGAGCCGTAAGAGATGAGAAGAAAGGAGTTTGTGTACCATGGGTTTTAAGCCTATTAGGTATTTGTTAGTGATGGGGTACTGTGGAACAAAGAGGGGTTCCACCACTTAACAAGGATAGGGGAATGGTGCGTAGCAATGGACGGAGAAGAAGTTTCCCATTCTAGGCATTAACCTTGTCTGAGGGAAAGGGGAAGGTGGATGCCTCAGGGGCCAGGTCTGGGTGCAGCCTGTAACAGGAGCATTGTAGCTGCAGTTCAAGTGTTTAGGGTAAGAGTAGCTTTGAATTTGAAAAGAATGTCCCATCCCAGAAAGGAGGCTGGGCATTGAGGCATTTTTAAGAATTTGTGTGTGAATTGGGTGTGAGGTAGGGTGCAGGAAAGGGGTTGAGTGATCCGTGGGCGGCATTCTGATCCCGTGACCCCTACTATTGTGATAGAGGATGGGGTTGTTGGTCCTGCATACTCAGGAAGGGTAGAGAAAATGGCCCCTGTATCAGTGACAAAAGAGATTGGCTTACCTGCCACGAAGCCAGTTACCGTGGCTTATGTGTGATGATCTCTGTGGGGGCCTCATGCCCTGGGCATCATCAGTCCTCCTGGGCAAAGCCGAGAAGCTCCGGTAGGGATGGCCAGGAAGCCAAAGGCTGTAGGTTGGGGACTGGGCCACTCCCTCTCTGGCGAGTGGCACAGTCAATCCCCCAGTGACCTGGCCATTTGCAGTGAGGATGGGTTATGACAGGCCCATGCTGAGTGGCCCAGTTGACTGCATTTGAAGCAGTTCCTGGGTGGCTTGTCTGTTGAGGCAGCCAGCTTTGGAGTATTTGAGCCTTGGATGGCATTAGCCAGGAGCTAGTATTTGGCCTGATCTCTTTTATAGTTTTTTCGAATATCAGGGGCTGATTGGGTAATGAAATGAGAGTGTAAGAGGGCCATGCCTGCAGGGGAGTTTGGGTCTGTATGTGTGTATTCATGTAAAGACTCAGAGAGGTGGGTTAGGAACTTGCTGGGATTTTCAGTGGGTCTCTGTGTGATCTCTCTAAGCTTGTCATAATTGACTGACTTGTGAGTAGGCTTTTGGAGGCCATGAAGTAGGTGTGTGATCATATTATCCTGGAGATCCCGATCCCCATGGCCAGCCTGGTAGTTCCAATTTGGGTCCATGCAAGGAACAGCAATGGCTCCCACAGGCCTCCTTTTATTTTGAGCATGTACCTGAGCCGCCATCCAGACCTGCTCCCTGTACATGGAGTTGGACAATTCTTTCCATCCCAGCCACTTCACGGAAGGGTTATAAAAAGCTGGAGCTGAGGCAGGGTTATTACCTGGTGAAGGGGGAGAAGGGGAGGGGTTGGGCTGAGGACAAGCATCTCGAGGGCAGGTAGAGGGGAGAGAGAGAAACGTGGAGGGCTGACGGATCAGAAGATTGATACGAGTCTGGAAGGAGAGGTCGAGCATGAGCTAGGAGAATTTGACACATAGGACAGTTTTGGCAGAGAGAAGAACACGTTCAGAGATAGGAAAAGTCCTGAACAAGGAATTTCTATAGCTTTTGCCGTTTTGGTGAGTGTCTAAATTGAGTGCCATCTTGTGGCCACTGGGATCCATTGTAACGAGGCGTTTGAGTTTTAATGTCTCTCCGGAGGCCAACAAATTGGCCAGGAGAAAGCCCAGAGGTGTAGAGTGGCCCAGAGGCATACAGCGCGGAGTACAGTAGAAAAGGGGACGGGATGTTTAGGTTCATTTTCTCCCTGGAGGCCAAGAAATTGGCCAGGAGACGGCCCAAGGGCATAGAGTGTGGAGGTTTGGATCACGAGGATCCCATTTTGAGGGTGAGAAAGGGCAGTCAGTCCTGGTAGAAGAAGCGTGCAAACAAAGAGTGCCCTCTCTGTTGCCCACCTTCTTTTTGAGAGGAAAAAAGCCAAGCAACCACCCAATGAAGTGTCCTTCAATAGCTGGGGGGCACGGGAAGAGTTCCCTCGGCCAGGCGCCTGGGTTTCGTAGAGACCTGAGTCGTAGAGAGAGTAGTCAGGGGAACCGTAGAAGTAGGCAGGACAGACCCACTGACTCACCCTGAATCGAGGACGATGTTGGATGCATTGGTGTGAAACGGCAAAAGGAGAGAGAGTCCCTAGTGTACCTGATTCTGGCAGGTCCGGGAAGGGCGGCCAAGGGTCAATCACCCCCAGAGAGAGAGGATCGTCCACAATGTCGGCCAAAACCCTTCCTGGCACCATAATGAAAGAAAGTGAGCCGAGATGCCGGGTACCGTTCAAGCTTTATTAAAGAAAGAAATCTGCTGGGCTGTGCTCAGAGTGGCAAGAGGGCCCATGGCTACCCTGAAAATGGTGGACAGCCCCAACAATGGGTTTGTGAGAGTTTATATTAGCTTTTGGGCACGAAATGTACAAGGGGGAGGGACCATTAGGTTGATGTAACTGGGTGGAGAACTGTACCGATGCAGAAGCCAGAAAGTTGTTTCTAAGTCAGGAGGCTTCTTGTAAAAGGAAGAGGGGAAGGGGAGGAGGTGGGCGGCACCTCCTCCCCTTGGGCTTGGGCTTGTCTAAAGTGGCGCTGGTTATGTTGCAGATCTATTAATTACCACAATCATGCCAGTTAGCATATCCATTACCTCTCATAGTTGCCTTTCTGTGTGTGTGTGTGGTGAGAACATTTAAGATCTACACTCTTAGCACATTTCAAATATACAATACAGTATTTTTAACGGTACCCACCATCTGTACATTAGATCTCCACAAGTTACTCATTCTGCCTATCTGAAACTTTTTTCTCCAGTGCTTAATGTGTGCCAAACACTTTGCTGGGCGCTGGATTTCCTCTGAAAACTGTGACACAAAGCTAAGGAGGAAGAGATTTTTTGTTTGTTTTTTGCTTTTTGTTTTTGTTCTGTTTTGCTGGGTTTCATGGAATATTTGTGGGGGGAAATGTAAATATTTTGTGTAAACCCGAAGGGCATGGAGCCAGGGCAATTAAACTGAATTTCAGGTGCCTAGAGAATTTAGGATTGACCATCCACCCTAAACCACAGAGCAGTGACTTGTCAGAACTGCAAGGGGCCACAGAGATCATCACAGCCCTCCTTTACATATGAGCAAACAGCTTCTCATGCCCCCACACTGATACAAAGAGAAAGAAAAATTGCTCTTTATTTTAACTGCCTACAATGCCTGTCATCTTCAGACACTGTCTTTTATCAACTGACTATTCAAGTTTGTAACAGAAATTGCAGATTTGTGAAATCCCTCTGGAAGAAGAGTCCCAGGAGTTCTTGTGAAAAGGAACTGCTTATTTGGTGTAGTTAAAAGAATTCTTGTTAGTAGAGTTGGTTACAACCCTTGGGCTATGGGTCTAGAAAAACTGATTGTTTCATATTTTGCACCAGAATAGGGATAGTGAATAAAGTTGGAGTAAGAAAAGGAGAGACTGTGTTTATTTGAGAAAAATATTTTATTGCTTTTAGGAATATCGTTCCTTGATATTACTGTTTATTAACCATATTCATTAAGTTTCAGTATTATAACTTACATAGAACATAGATAAGGGATTTAAAATCAGAGTTCAAAGACCAGTAGATCAATTACTTTCAACTTTGATTTTGCAAGACCCCTGAGGTTCTGACACAGTGTGAAGGTCCGTTGCGAAATGATATATAGAAAGTTAATGTTAGTCAACCCACCTATGAAATAGAGGATGGCAGGGGTTCATAACCCTAAATTCACAGTGAGTTTAGGGCAGGGGACATGATCTCTTTGTAGTTCTGTGATGTGGGTAAGTACATTTTTGTGGAGCAAGGTCTGCAATTTTTATCAGACTCGGAGGGGCCAGTGACTACAAAAAATAGTTAAGAACTGCTGGTATAGAGGTGGTCACTAAATCAAACCATACTTGAAAACAGGAAGGGGATCCCTAAGAGAATATTGATACATAATATTTTATTTAAATGTGTGGCAAGAATTTGAGATAAAACTGACTTTTCCCTTCTTTATAGGCCGAGTGATAGCTACTTTCACATGTTCAGGAGAAAAGGAAGTAAATTTGGCTGTTCAAAATGCAAAGGCTGCCTTTAAAATATGGAGTCAAAAATCTGGCATGGAACGTTGCCGAATCCTTTTGGAGGCTGCCAGGATAATAAGGGTATGTTTTAATTTATCACTTCAAGAAAACTCCTCTTAAATTGCTTTGAGGGTTCTTTGTAATGAGTTGCAGTTAGACTTTGATGCAACATTAGGTTATTACATTTTTATGAAGTGGGAAAACATTTCCACGTGCTCACCTTGGTATGTAAAACAAGCTTTTATTTAGTAATTCCCATCTGGATCTTGGCTCTTGGACATCTCTCCCTTGGCAAGTTTTCTTTTCTGTCTTTGTTTTGAGTTATAATGTACTTTTTGTCATTTGTCTCCTTTCCTTTTTTTTTTTTTTTCCTTTTTGTCTTTTTTCGTGACCGGCAACGGTATCGCAACCCTCGGTGTTGCGCCCGCACCACGCTTAACCAGTGAGCTGACCGGTCTCTATATGGGATCCGAACCCTCGGCGCGAGCGCTGCCGCGCTCCCAAGCGCTGCACTCTACTGAGTGCGCCACTGGGCCGGCCCAGTCTCCTTTCCTTTTTAAAACAGGTTTGTGTACTTGTTTCCTTTTTACTTTTTCTTCTAATGATTCTTTTTTTTTTTTTTTCGTGACCGGCAACGGATCGCAACCCTCAGTGTTGCGCCCGCACCTCGCTCATCCAGTGAGCGGCCGGTCTGTATGTGGGATCCGAACCCTCGGCGGGAGCGCCGCCGCACTTCCCAAGCGGCGCACTGTAGCAGTGCGCCACCGGGCCGGCCCCAATATTCCAGGGTTTAGTAGTGATGGTTACACATTAAAGTAGTTCTTGTTTGTTCACTCTTGAACTAAAGTGGAAGCAGAACTATTTTTCACTATTGCTGGTATAACACCTCTTCATGTTTTGAAATGTTCTATGTTGATTCATCACTTTATTCCACTGATTAGTGAGCTAGTACTTACTTTTTTTTTTTTTTTTTTTAAAGATGACTGGTAAGGGGATCTTAACCCTTGACTTGGTGTTGTCAGCACCATGCTCACGCAGTGAGCAAACCAGCCATCCCTATATGGGATCCGAACCCGTGGCCTTGGTGTTATCAGCACCGCACTCTCCCGAGTGAGCCACAGGCCGGCCCCTAGTACTTACTTTTTTATTTATTTATTTATTTTATTTATTTTTTATTTTTTTAAAAGATGACCGGTAAGGGGATCTTAACCCCTGACTTGGTGTTGTCAGCACCACGCTCACCCAGTGAGCAAACCGGCCATCCCTTATATGGGATCCGAACCTGTGGCCTTGGTGTTATGAGCACGGCACTGTCCCGAGTGAGCCACAGGCCGGCCCGTACTTACTTTTTTATAGCCTAGTTTCCCTCTTGCTGTCTAGAAACAAAATTTCAACTACTCATGGTTGATCATACCTTTGGAAAACTGTTTCGTCTTAATCATGCTCAGTAAATTCAAGAAAGGGGAATAATTTATATCTGGTTTTAGAATTGTTGCTTGTTGTCCTCCTAGATACCCTCTTTGTATTGTCAGTATATTGGGAAGCAAGTTAATTGTTAAAAGGTTGTTTTGGTGAGTATAGAATCAGGAAAAGAGAAGGTGAATTATTGGTTGAAAAGAGAGTTTAATTTAGACCTTGTTTGAACGTAAACAAATGATCCTTTCTGAAGAAACATGTCTATTCATTAATTGTAATATTTATTTAGAATTTACTAACTTCCCCTTTTAGAAGTAAATTCCTCAAGGCAGAGACTGGATTGGTACTCTTTTTCTTAGTAATGAATGCAGAATGAATGAATAAAAGCACTTTACACCTCTGCTCTCTATAGAAATACAACATTTCCAGATCTCTCTATCAAACTGTCCTTTCCTGTATTTCATATGATTTTCATATCCCTACTTTCATCTTTTCTGAGATTTGTACTGTGGATAGATGCTTGTGTTAGTTTCTGTTGCATTCCATTTTGCTTCTGGTCAGCCTTCCTGCTTATCACTTTTAATAAGAGAATGCTCCTTCTTATCAGTTATTCAATTCATCTTTTATTATGTTCTGATAGTCACCCTATTGTTTATTTTAAATTGGGTCCATAATAGCATTGGTCTATTATTTAACATATTCAATTCTTTTATCTTCATTAGGCCAAAGGAAGGCATTATTTAGGCTTTCTTTTAAAGGTCTAATATCCTAAACCTTAAGCTCGTCCCCAACCATCTCTAGAGTCTATCCTTAGTGAGTTGTAGAGGCCAGAACTAGAAACAGTATCTGAAAATAATAGTGCTGAGTATTAGGAAGTATTAGAAAAGAATATGCTACATTTCTTTGGATGAATTAAAGCGATGTGTGTTATAACCTCTTAAATGCCAATTTTGTGTTAGGCTATTTTGTATAACTTCCCTAAGGACTGTTCTTTCTTACCATGTATGCACAAATATGTAGACACATTTATATACATGCACATATAACATTCATTTCTCAAAAGTTCTTTTCTTTTCTTTTCTTTTTTTTTTTTTTAAAAAAAAAGGTGACCGGTAAGGGGATCTCAACCCTTGGCTTGGTGTTGTCAGCACCATGCTCAGCCAGTGAGCAAACCGGCCATCCCTATATAGGATCCTTGGTGTTATCAGCACCGCACTCTACCGAGTGAGCCAGGGGCCGGCCTTCAAAAGTTCTTTTCTCATCTTAAATCTTTATCTTTGTTAATTGTTTAACTTGAGCGGGAAAACAGGGCTGCTATTTAGCAGTAAGCTTTTATCTCTCTTCCAAATGTAATGTTCCCATTCCTTTTATTTTAAGTGTAGGCTGTTTATATTTTTAAAATTGAGCAGCGTATTCTATTTAAACATTAAGTACATTGAGACATATTGTAGTATGTCTTATATCTAGTTTTCTGTTTTACCCAAAGGAACGGAGGGATGAAATTGCCACTGTGGAGACCATCAACAATGGCAAGTCCATCTTTGAGGCCCGTTTGGACATTGACGTTTCCTGGCAGTGCCTGGAGTACTATGCAGGCTTGGCTGGATCCATGGCTGGTAAGCCCTCGCTTGGCCTTCTGTGTCTGGCTGACAGTGAGGCAGAAGAGCAGAGCCTAGTGGTGAAGGGCAAAGATTTTTGAATTGAGACAGGCCTGGGTTAAAGTCCTGGGTTCATCACTTTCTACCTGGGTAGCCCGGGAATTAGTTTATCTTTCCTTATCTAAACTTAAGATAAAATCCCTACCTTCTTGTGTTGTTTTAAGTATTAAATGAGGTAATGCATGTAAAGCACCTAGCATGGTATCTGAGCTTTAGACCAAGTTGCTGAAAAACAAGTTCTAACAAGAATTAGCATATCATCTTTACCAGTTTCACCTATTTAGCCAAAAATTCTTTGACTATTTATAAAGTTTATGACAATTCATACTGGATATTGCTTGGACCCAGGAGGGCTGTGGGAGCCAGAAGTCTGAGGTTTTAGGGTCCTCAGAATCTTCCCCTGCTGCCAAGTCTTCCCCTCAGTTTTGTTTCATTTCATCTAAGTTATTTAATGGAGGCTCAGTAAGTGTTTAGAAAATTAAATTAAGTTGAAGGAACAAGTGTTTGAAGGATAGGTAGGATTGTCTTTGTGGAGAGAAAATGTGGAAGCCAGTGTCAGAATGACTAGAATGGATCGAGGAACGGAGACAGGGCAAGCTTGGTGTATTGGAGCAGTGAGGAGACTGGTCTGACTGGATTACAAGTCAGACTGGTATGCTTGTGCAGGTACTGGTGAAATAGGGAGCACAGACCTGCATTCTTCTTTACTCCTCTGCTTTCCGTAGGTGAACATATCCAGCTCCCAGGCGGATCCTTTGGTTACACCAGAAGAGAACCACTCGGGGTATGTGTGGGAATAGGAGCATGGAACTACCCCTTTCAGATTGCCTGTTGGAAGTCTGCTCCAGCTTTAGCTTGTGGTAAGAATGAATTATTCTTCCACATGTGAGCTATCTGTTCTCTCCCATTCTCTACCCCTTGCCTCTCCATAAATACACATTTCAAAACAGAGAGGGCCTGATCTGGGATATTCACAGCCTCAGAAGGCATGGTTCCATTCCTTCCTTGCCTTGCCATTCCAGGAGCTTACAGTGTAGGTGGCACATATAGATCGTGTCTAGATATTCCCATTTTTTTATTTATCTTAACTTTTTTTGCATATAGAAGGAAGAAAGTTAATTTTTCCTGTTGAATTAGATTTGTGGTACTCATGAGTTCTCTTCCTTTCTGGACAAGAATTTCTAGGTAGGAGGAGCACTTAGGAGTTTAACTTTATTTAGGAAGCAGAAGATAAACTTCCTTCTTCATTTGCATCTTAAGAGGGATGATAATCAAAGCTTCCATCAGAGAAGCTTTGGCTGATTGACTTAAAAACAGTTTTCTATACTATTTTTTTAGGCGGGGAGCAGCTGGTTTTTACAGGGAATTTATACTATTTTTCCTTTTTTTTAAAAGATGACAGGTAAGGGGATCTTAACCCCTGACTTGGTTTTGTCAGCACCACGCTCTCCCAAGTGAGCTAACCGGCCATCCCTATATAGGGATCCCAATCCGTGGCCTTGGCGTTATCAGCACCACACTCTCCCAAGTGAGCCATAGGCCAGCCCTAGGGAACTTGTACTATTTAAAGAGAGTAATCTGTGGGAAAAGAAGACTTACTATATCTTAGAAAAAACCATAATTTAAAAAAGCATTATTAGATGATTGTATTGAAATACAGCTTTTGTTCTGTTCCTATTGTGTGTTCTTGTTTTAGTATATTCCTGCCTGAGAGGCAGCTGTAATAGAGGAGAAATAGTGTCAACATTAAGTCACTAACTTTGGGGATTCTCATCAAAATGAACCTTTCCGGCCTTCAATTTCAACTTTTATAAAATAGGACTAATCATACTTACTTCATGCTACTGTTGAAAGTATTAAATGCATGAGATAATATATGTGAAAAGGCCCAGATTTGCAAGTGGAAGGTATTATTGTTTGAGACTGGGTGAGTGTATGGTTTGGAGTCTGTTTAATGAGAGAAACTTAGAGAAGGACAAGATATGTTTACTTATTAATAACATTTTTGTCTAGGATTTGATGGATGAGTAGGAAACAGTTGGAGTTGTTCTTGAATTGTCCCCTAGTCTTGTCCTCAGAGGATCTTAAGTCTTTTTGTGTTTATGTCTTGGGTTTGTACAGGTAACGCCATGATCTTTAAACCTTCTCCCTTCACGCCTGTTTCTGTATTGCTACTGGCTGAAATCTATACTGAAGCTGGGATGCCTCCTGGGCTCTTCAATGTGGTGCAAGGAGGGGCCACCACAGGCCAGTTTCTGTGTCAGCATCGTGATGTGGCCAAAATCTCCTTTACTGGAAGTGTGCCCACTGGTGCAAAGGTGACTATAAAACTAGTATGGTTTAATATAAATGGCATCTAGATATGGCAAAATATACTACCCATAGTATATTTTGGAGGCTTCTCTTCTGATTTTACCTAGCTCGTATTAGGAATGGGACAGGAGATTTTATTGGTGAAAGATCTGAAGCTTCCTGTAAAAGTGTGAAGGGGGAGGGGTGCACACATGGGCTAACTTGTGTTAAGCCACGTGGGGGTCGAAGTCATCATCTCTGCCTGAGGAGGTGATGTGTCTGAGTGGGCAGGGACCTGGACTGCCACTTGTATTGTTTAGTGATTTAATTTCATGTGTAGAAGGAAGGGTATTTTCTCAGGTTCACATTCATTATTTTGATCTTAAATTGTGTTCTTAGCTCTGTCAGCCTTAAACACAATAACACTAACACAAAAGAATTTCTACCTGTGAATTGACAATATATTTTTGGATGAATTCCCTCTTCAGAATGTGAAGTGCAGTTTATGAACCCTGTTCAGTTTTCTGGAAAAGAATATTTTAACTAGACAAAGGGCAGAGTATATTGATGATAATAGGGCTGCAGGTCATACTCAGTTCAAGATGACTTTGTAGGCTCAGGGTCTAGTTGGCTTTTATGCAGTCTAACTGTTAAACAACTTTTGGATGCTTTGTTCTTATTCTGTAAGATCATGGAGATGTCAGCGAAAGGGATCAAGCTGGTTACCTTGGAACTTGGAGGCAAATCTCCACTCATCATCTTCTCAGATTGTGATATGGACAATGCTGTGAAGGGGGCACTGATGGCCAACTTCCTCACACAAGGCGAGGTATGCACCTGTCCCTGGAAAAGGGGTCAAAGGAATCTCTACCCCATCATCTAACAGCATGTTTTAAAACTTTTATTTTGAAATACTTTCAGACTTACAGAAAAGTTGCACAAGTAGTACAAAGACTTCCCATGTACCTTTGAACCAGATTCCTCAAATATTAGTAACTTATTTATTTTTAAAGCTTTAAGATTAAATATTAGCATTTTAATGCATTTACTTTATTATTCTCTTTATCTCTATATACATATGCATATTATTGTTTCTCTGAACTTTTTGAGAAGTTGTAGACATAAGGCCTTTAACCTCTAAATATGTCTGTGTTCCTAAAAACAAGCACATTCTCTTACATAAGCACAGCACACTTTGTAAAATCAACAAATTAACACTGATACAGTACTATTACTCAATCTGTAACCCTTATTCAGATCTCACCATTCATTTGACTAATGTCCTCTTAGCAAAAGAAAACAAAATTTTTCCTGGTCCGGGACCCAGTCAAGGATGATGCATTGCATTTAGTTGTCTTGTCTTTAGTCTCCTGAATTGGGAACAGTTCTTTAGTTACTCTTATCTTTCAGGACCTTAACATTTTTGAAGAGTACAGGCTGTTTATTTTGTAGAATGTCCCTCACTTTGGGTCTGTCTAATGTTTCCTGTTAATTAGATTAATTTTATGCATTTTGGCAAAAAATACTACAAACATGACATTGTGTCCTTCTCAGTGGTGATTTAACTTAGATCACTTGCTTAAGGTGGGTCTTCACTCTAAAGTTACTGTTTTTACTTTGTGGTTAATAAGTATCTTGTAGGAGATATTTTGAGACTATCCTGTTCCTCATCAAACTTTCACCCAATAGTTGTATCACCCACTGATGATTCCTCCTGAAAAACAGTTTTTTTATGGTGCTTGCCAAATGGTAGTTTTCTAATTTCATCATTCCTTATACGTTTATTAGTTTACCTTCTACTGTAAGAAAGAACTTTCCCTTTTCCCCTGTTTATTTTTCATTCACTTATTTATATCAGTATGGGTCCATGGATTCTTATTTCATTCTATGGGTCCTAATCCGTTACTATCATTATTCATTTTGATACTCAGATAATTGCAGATTTAGCAGGTGGGAGCCCCTTTTTGTGGTATGTTCTCATTATTCTTTTTTTTTTTTTTTCTAAAAGATGACCGGTAAGGGGATCTTAACCCTTGACTTGGTGTTGTCAGCACCACGCTCAGCCAGTGAGCGAACTGGCCATTCCTATATGGGATCCGAACCCGTGGCCTTGGTGTTATCAGCACCGCACTCTACCGAGTGAGCCACGGGCCAGCCCCAAGTATGTTCTCATTATTCTTGGAGCACTTCATTGGCACAGCAAGGTGTTCTAGACTCATCTTGTACTTTCCCTGGCCAACCTCTGGAATCAGCCATTTTTCTAAGAAGCTCTGGTTCCATTTAGTAGTTGTATTAGTTTGTTTCTGTTGCTTATAACAAAATACTGTGAAGTGGGTGATGTATAAGAAAATGAAATTTATTGCTTACAGTTTGGGAAGTTAGGAAGTCCAAAGTCCAGGAAACACATCTGGTGAGGGTCTTTTCTGTTGGTGACCCTCCAGCAAGCAACACAGGGGTCTTACATGGTAGAAAATGGTGGAGCAGAGAGAGAAATTCTCATGTGCTCTCCTTTTTTTTTTTTTTTTTCCTTTTTGTCTTTTTTTACTGACCGGTAACGGGATTGCAACCCTCCGTGTCGCGCCCGTACCAGGGACCGGCAACGGGATCACAACCCTCGGTGTTGCGCCCGCACCGCGCTCAGCCAGTGAGCAGGAACCGGTCTCCACATGGGATCCGAACCCTCGGCGGGAGCGCCGCCACACTCCCAAGCGGCGCACTCTCCAGTGCGCCACCGGGCCGGCCCGTGCTCTCCTTTTAAAGCCCTCAGAACCACACCTCTGACCACCATTATTAATCCATTCACTACAGCATGGTCCTACAATCTAATCACCTCTTCATAGCCCCACCTTTTGATTACCATAATAGGATTTCCCACCCTCAACAGTAACAGTGTGGATTAAGCTTCAGTGAGGTTGGGGAGGAATTCAAACTACAGCAAAGCAGGTGATTGAAGCCAACAATTGGAGCTTTCCTCGGCTGTCTCCATGATGGTGTCACTGCTCCTGGGGTCCCCTCCCAGCAAACATGGGATGTCCCAGGGATACAAACCCAAACCAGTCCATATCTTCCTGGAAGCCAAGACATGCTACAGGACCTGGAGTTGCATGCCGATGGTCTACAGTGAATAAACTAAAGAAGTGAGAAAGTAAACCGTGTCTCAGAGGGGAAAAATTGGAGTGGTGGTCCTACCAGAAGAACTGTGAATCCAAAGGGGTCAGAACAGACTACAGGACTGAGCTTAGCTGAAGGTGGACAGTAGACTGGTATAACTTCACTTCAAACCAGCAGGCAAGGTTTTTAAACATGGGCCAAAATCAAATTATAATTCACTGAGATTTTCCATGATAATTAGACTTCCATGTTTTTTGTTAGACATCTGAAATAGCTTCATTTTATATTTTGGTTTTTTGTACCTGTCATAGTATTCCCTAACATAAGCTATGTATACAAAGCTCAAAATAAAGGAATAATAATATATCAGTATTCAAAATTAAACACTGCAGCAATACTTAGCCAATAACAATTAATAATCAAACATGAAAAAAGAAAGGATAAAACTTTCATATGTTAGGAATTTACTTTTAATGAAGTACATTTTCTGTCCACTCAAATAAAGCAGCATAAGTCAGTTGATCATAAATTATGAATGCTGACCATTAGAGTAGGTGCTATCCTTTCATTATGCAAAATAAAACAATTATAGCAGAGTGTTTCCATGTGGAAAAAAAAAATCACTAACACTTCATGTTTGTCCCTGTCATTTTAATCAGTTTGAGAATAAGGCCTAAATTGGACAATATCTTATTCATTAATTTTTTCTTCTATCTGCTCTACATGGCAGATGCTCATGACTTCCTCTGTGTAAATTAGTAATTTAGGGCAAAAAAGGAGAGTATAGCTCTTTATTCTCATCATGTTGGTATTTGCCATAAGCCCGGGTTCAGAACTGGGTTTGGTTTATGGGATGTTGCATTCTCCTCTCTCCACCCCCATCTCTTCCCCAACAAAGTTGGTATGGTTTAACACTGTATTTTTATCTTAATTGGTTTACCACCCCTCAGAGCGTGCTGAAGGGACCCAAGCCTCCAGGGAATACTTGGCACCCAGCCTGCCAACATTTGAAGCCTTCAAACCTGGCTTAACTTCTCTCTAGAGGGCCTTTTTTTTTTTTTTGTCTTTTTTCATGTCCGGCAACGGATCGCAACCCTCAGTGTCGCGCCCGTACCGGACCGGGACCGGAACCCTCGGTGTTGCGCCTTTGTCTTTAGCTTGAGGTTATAGTCAAAATACTGTGTTCAAAAGTCACTTGGGTCAATTTTCCCCTTTCTCCAACTTCAGTATGGTTATGATATTCATTTAAAATAATATTCATTTGTTTCTGTTTGTATTTCATTTGGTTTTACATTTGTCACCTCTCCCAGGGTGACAGAGATGCAAAGGATTACTCAAAGCCCATTTCTCCAGAGGAGTGAGAGGCCCAGAAGGGGTTAATTCCCAGGAACAATTTCTTCAAGAGAGAAGAATTCCTAGGAAATAACCCCGAATTAGGTTTTCTCTCCGTTTTTATTCTCCAGGCCGGAAAGTTACAGAAAAGGAACATAGGTGGTTACAAAAAGAACAATGAGATATTCATCATGGCAACAATCATTAGGCTTAGCTGCACCAAGGGCATCTGCCCTTAGAGCAAGCATTTTTGCTGTTACAATTTTTTTATCTACAACACTTTAGTCCGGGGAAAGTTTTCTGTTTTCCCAAGCTTAGCATTTCTATGTGCAATACTAAAAAGTTAGGCTATGTTTATTAATGTTAGTATCCTCCACATATATTCCTCCATCCTTGCTGATTTTAAAAATTTATTTTATTTTTATTTTTTTTCTAAAGATGACCGGTAAGGGGATCTTAACCCTTGACTTGGTGTTGTCAGCACCACGCTCAGCCAGTGAGTGAACCGGCCATCCCTATGTGGGATCCGAACCCGGGGCCTTGGTGTTATCAGCACCGCACTCTCCCGAGTGAGCCACGGGCCGGCCCTTAAAAATTTATTTTGATTGGAGAAAACACTAACGTGGTTCTGATTATCAGAATTTTACAAAAAGGTGCACTCAGAAGAGTTACTCCTCCCCATATCTTCTACCCTGTTGCCATTACCTCCCTCCCACCTACTCCTTCCTGTCCCCTCTAGGTAGCCAGTCAAATTTGTTTCTGGTTTTTCCTTCTCCTATTTCTTTTTGCACAAATGAACAGATCAGGTACTTGTATATTTCTGACTGAAACTCTGTACTCATTAAATGATAACCCTCTATACCTCCCTCCACTCATTCCCTGGTAACCACTATTCTACTTTCTGCTTCTATGAATTTGATTATTCTAGGTACCTCTTATAAGTGGAATCATGCAATATGTATTCTTTTATGTCTGGTTTGTTTCACTTAGTATAATGTCTTGAAGGTTCATCCATGTTGCAGCATGTGCCAGAATTTCTTCTCTTTTTATTTTTCTGGGTTTTTTTTGTGGCTGGCCAGTATAGGGATCCGAACCCATGACCTTGGTGTTACCAGCACCGTGTTCTCCCAAGTGAGCTAACCAGCCAGCCCAAATTTCTTCCCTTTTTAAGGCTAAATAATATTCCATTGTGTTTGTATATACACCATGTTTTGTTTATCCATTCTTTCATTGATGGATGCTTGGATTGTTTCCACCTTTTGGCTATTGTGAATAATGTTGCTATGAACATTGATGTAGAAGTCCATGCTTTCAGTTATTTTGTGTGTATAGCCAGAATTGGAATCACTGGATCATGTAGTAATTCAGTTTTTAAGTTTTTGAGGTACCACTATACTGTTTTCCACAACAGCTACACCATTTGATATTCCCATAAGCAGTGCACAAGGTTTCCAATTCCTCCACATCCTTGCCAACATGTGTTATTTTCTATTTCTGTTTTTTGTTGTTGTTGTTTTTTGATAATAGTCATCCTAATGAGTGTGAAGTGGTATCTCACTGTTTGTTTTAATTTACCTAATGATTAGTAATGTAGAATGCATATGTAATTTTATAAGATATTGCCAAATTTCCCTCCAAAAGAAAATGTTGCATTCCTCGTAAGAATGTATGAGTCCTTTTTCCCTAATACCCTCTTTTAATGGAATGTGTTGTCATGATTTTAAATTTTCACCAGATAGAAGAGCAATGGTCAGTGTAGTATTAATTTGAATTCTCTAATTATGGGTGAGATAGAACATCTTTTGTAGGCTTAAGACTCTGTGTGTGTGTGTGTGTGTGTGTGTCTGTGTGTGTGCGCGCGCGCGCGCGCGTTAATCATTTTTCTATTGGAATTTTTATCTTTCCCCCAATTTTTTAATGGAGTGGTTTTTTTTTCCCTTTTTCATATATGAGAAAGTTCACACTTTTTGGTGTATTGTACTATGAGATTTGGTTTTCTCTCAATTTTTTTTTTTTTTTTTTTTAATGGATGGCTGGCATGGGGATCCAAACCCTTGACTTTGGTGTTATAACAACTGCTTTAACCACCTGAGCAAACTGACCAGTTCCCCTCAATTTTTAAATGTTAGTAATGACAGCCTTTTATCTGAGATAAATGTTGCAAATATTTTCTTCTAGTCTTTCAAAATTATCTTAGTTTAGGGTATTTGCCATGCAGAATATTTTTATTTTTATGTAGTCAGATTTATCGATTTTTTTCTTTCATTGACTCTAGATTTTGAGTAATAGTTAGAAAATCTTTTTCTACACCTTGGTTATAGAGGAATTACCTGTATTTTCTCCTAGTTATAGTATGTTTCCATATTTTATATTTTGTTTCCTGGTACATTTTGAGTTTATTTTTGTGTATCATATGAGATATGTATCTCATTTTATCTTTTCCACATGGCTAACCATTTGTTCTAGCATCATTTATTTAGCGTATCTTTGTCCCAGTGGATTAAGATTCCACCTTTATCGGGAACTAAATTTCCAAGAGCACTTGGATCTATTTTTGGACTTTCTTTTCTGTTCTACTGTTCTTACAGCATTTGAACAGTACTTACATTCATTTCTATGGGAGGGTCTAAATAGTGACTGATTTTGCAGACTCATATTTACCGAAATGCTTAATTTTTAAAATTAGGTTTTAGACTGCGGTTCTTAATCTATTTTTACTTTTCAATCCCCTCCCACTGTCACCTCCCACTCTTAAAATATACAGCCAAATCGAGCAGCTGTTTTAAGGAAGTAGGAGAGGTCCTTTGGGTCATTTGGATCTATTAATGGCTTTAAGAAAATTTAAACAAGCAAAATAAGAGCTAACTTTTATCTCGAAGGACAGATTATGCTTATGGGATGGTATGTCCACAAATAAATATGTGATCATTCCTACTCAGTATGGGGACAATTTTTAGAAATAGAAATATCCTTTAAAAAATTTTTGTGGTGCCTCTTTTAAGTTTAAAGCTATTATATTATTTTTCTTTTTCCCTTTTCCTTTCTGTGTGTCTGTGTGTGTGCGCGCGCGCGTTAATCATTTTTCTATTGGAATTTTTATCTTTCCCCCAATTTTTTAATGGAGTGGTTTTTTTTTCCCTTTTTCATATATGAGAAAGTTCACACTTTTTGGTGTATTGTACTATGAGATNATGGGTGAGATAGAACATCTTTTGTAGGCTTAAGACTCTGTGTGTGTGTGTGTGTGTGTGTGTCTGTGTGTGTGCGCGCGCGCGCGCGCGTTAATCATTTTTCTATTGGAATTTTTATCTTTCCCCCAATTTTTTAATGGAGTGGTTTTTTTCCCTTTTTCATATATGAGAAAGTTCACACTTTTTGGTGTATTGTACTATGAGATTTGGTTTTCCCCCAATTTTTTAATGGAGTGGTTTTTTTCCCTTTTTCATATATGAGAAAGTTCACACTTTTTGGTGTATTGTACTATGAGATTTGGTTTTCTCTCAATTTTTTTTTTTTTTTTTTTTAATGGATGGCTGGCATGGGGATCCAAACCCTTGACTTTGGTGTTATAACAACTGCTTTAACCACCTGAGCAAACTGACCAGTTCCCCTCAATTTTTAAATGTTAGTAATGACAGCCTTTTATCTGAGATAAATGTTGCAAATATTTTCTTCTAGTCTTTCAAAATTATCTTAGTTTAGGGTATTTGCCATGCAGAATATTTTTATTTTTATGTAGTCAGATTTATCGATTTTTTTCTTTCATTGACTCTAGATTTTGAGTAATAGTTAGAAAATCTTTTTCTACACCTTGGTTATAGAGGAATTACCTGTATTTTCTCCTAGTTATAGTATGTTTCCATATTTTATATTTTGTTTCCTGGTACATTTTGAGTTTATTTTTGTGTATCATATGAGATATGTATCTCATTTTATCTTTTCCACATGGCTAACCATTTGTTCTAGCATCATTTATTTAGCGTATCTTTGTCCCAGTGGATTAAGATTCCACCTTTATCGGGAACTAAATTTCCAAGAGCACTTGGATCTATTTTTGGACTTTCTTTTCTGTTCTACTGTTCTTACAGCATTTGAACAGTACTTACATTCATTTCTATGGGAGGGTCTAAATAGTGACTGATTTTGCAGACTCATATTTACCGAAATGCTTAATTTTTAAAATTAGGTTTTAGACTGCGGTTCTTAATCTATTTTTACTTTTCAATCCCCTCCCACTGTCACCTCCCACTCTTAAAATATACAGCCAAATCGAGCAGCTGTTTTAAGGAAGTAGGAGAGGTCCTTTGGGTCATTTGGATCTATTAATGGCTTTAAGAAAATTTAAACAAGCAAAATAAGAGCTAACTTTTATCTCGAAGGACAGATTATGCTTATGGGATGGTATGTCCACAAATAAATATGTGATCATTCCTACTCAGTATGGGGACAATTTTTAGAAATAGAAATATCCTTTAAAAAATTTTTGTGGTGCCTCTTTTAAGTTTAAAGCTATTATATTATTTTTCTTTTTCCCTTTTCCTTTTTTCCTTTACACACATATAAATTTGTGTCTTGTGTCTGTCCTTTAGGTTTGCTGTAATGGCACAAGAGTATTTGTGCAAAAGGAAATTCTTGATAAATTTACAGAGGAAGTGGTGAAACAGACCCAAAAGATAAAAATTGGAGATCCCCTTCTGGAAGATACAAGGATGGGTCCGCTCATAAACCGACCACACCTGGAGCGAGTCCTTGGGTTTCTTAAACTGGCAAAAGAGCAGGTGAGAGGGCTGGCCCGGTGGCGCACTGGATAGTGCGCCGCTTGGAAAGCGCGGCGGCGCTCCCGCC